GTAGATGCAAGTGATCTACCCAACTTGGCCTCCCCAAGTGCTGAGATTACAGGCATGAGCCATGGTGCCTGACCTAAAGCCCATACTCTTTTTTTTATTTTTTTGAGACAGAGTCTCGCTTTGTCACCCTCATTAGAGTACCGTAGCATCATAGCTCACAGCAACCTCCAACTCTTAGGCTCAAGCAATTCTCTTGCCTCAGCCTCCCAAGTACCTGGGACTACAGGTGCCCACCACAACGCCCGGCTGTTTTTAGAGATGAGGTCTCACTCTGGCTCAGGCTGGTCTTAAACCTGTGAGCTCAAGCAATCTACAACTTTTGAATAAGGAAGAAGAGAATAATAAAATTTGAAGGACAAACATGATTTTGAACAAAAGAATTCACCCTGTTTCCTTTTCCACTTTTCTAAATTTTCCAGAAGAACTGATGACCACCACAATTCCACAGGCCACTAAGGGCCTGTCCCCAGAAGCTGGAGCCAGCACAGCACTCATTGCAGGTAACAAAGGCTCTGAGCCAAAGCCAAGGGACCTTCTGGGATCAAGGGCCACCTCTCTCCAGAGACAGCCTGACAAACTAAGATTTTCCCCACACCGGAAAAGCATTACAACACTGGGGACCAAGTCCATTACAGGGGGTCCTTCTGGCATGTAGGCTCTCTCTCAAACACACACACAGATTTGGCTGCAAAAGACTCAGAGGCTTCTGTCAGAGTCACTGCCAGTAAATGATAGGTTAGGAGGTGGCCACAAATAGCTATGCCTATGGATACTACCCAGGAGTATGTGGGTCGGGAGGAGGATATATGTGTTTAAAAACCCCTTCCTGTTGGAATAGGCTATTTCCTGTTTCCCTCCTTCCTGTTTTTATCATAATCATCAGGAACTGGTCTGGGAGGGAGTTCAGTTTTGTCAGAAATTAAAAGCATTGTGTCCTACAGCGATTATGTACCACAGTCTTGGGTGTAGTGAGGGGACATGGATTTGGATGGGAGTGGACAAGAGTTGACCCAAGTGGGACAATCCTGTGAGAAGAGTGAGGAAACCATCTAATTCAGGTGATTCAATGAACTACTGAGGCATCCCCCTTCCTGAAATTTCTTTACATTCTCCCTCTCTTTCCCAAGTTGTTATCACCGTGGTCTTCCTCACCCTGCTCTCAGTTGTGATCTTCATCTTCTTCTACCTGTACAAGAACAAAGGCAGCTACGTCACCTATGAATCTGCAGAAGGCGATCCCAGTGCCATCCTCCAGATGGAGAATGACTCAGCCAAGGGCAGAGAGAAGGAGGAATATTTCATCTAACCATTCCTGGGCCTCAGGAGCTTATTCCTGGCTCTAACACTAACACAATGACTGTTTAATTTATTAGGTGAAAGTTTTCTCTGAAGCCAGTAAGAAGCATTGATTGATGTAGGGAAATTCAAGCTCCTTCCTGGACACAGTCCCCACTGTCAGCATCACTGACTCTGGGGGCTAGGGACATGGAAGAAACCTGTTTGTGATCTCTTTAAACAGGCCTTCATAATAAAGCTGTTATTTCTAACTGGCCAACAAGACAGGGCTGTACCAGCAGACTTTGGATTATAGGGATGGAAAAGAGAGTGAGGGTCACTGGCCACTCTACTCTGTCCCCTAGCTGGTCACCTAGTGATAGGCTCAGTGCAGACATTGCCCGTGGAAGTTCATCCTGGATAGCATACTAAAAGGCCAGGCCAAAAGGGGTGGACTATGGAGACCCTACTCCCTATCACATGTACTACGTTCCTCCCCATCTGAGCCCTTCCTTTCCACAGCTCCCAACCTTATACTCATGTGATTTTTATCCGAATTAAAATTTTTCACTAATGCAGAAATCAGATTCTCATGTGCAAGAACTACCTTTATCCTTAAACTTTTTTTAAACTCCTTTGCACGTATTCTTTCAAGCCATATGAACCCCAGGAAAGTTCCAGAAGTTCCCAGAACTAGCTCAGAGATTTGAGACAAAGATGGTCCAGGGAAGCTCGTCCCAGAGGAACATCATCAGAAACACACCTGGGAGATGAGTTGGTTTAGCTTCCATCTTGGCAAGTGCCGGAATTTCCCAGAACCCCTTCTATGTATACATAGAGGGAACTAGGAAAATTCCACCTACCACCTCTCCCCATCGGCCTCATAATCAAGCCAAGAAGTTTCAAGGCTTTAACTTAGTCTCAAAATGAGATGTGTTTACAAAATACCATGTTTTGGTATAAATCATTAGCTCCTCAGATACTGTTTACTTTGGAATTAAACTAGATGTCCACTGAGGTCTTAATGCATTGCCTCCATTGTCCACAGTAAGATCTAAGAGTTGAGGAACCAATTTTCACAGCCTAGATCCTAGGAATTTTCAGTATCTCTCCACACAGAACTTTGGAGAAAATGATGGTCATCTTGAATGTGTATAAATAGCCATACTAAAACATTTTCCTCAAGCAAACTCTAAAGCAAATTAGGAGAATCAATCGTTCCTTTTTTGTGAGATGGGAGTCTCACTGTGTTGCTCAGTCCAATCTCATATTCCTGCATTCAAGTGAGCCACCTACTTCAGCCTGAGAGCAGCTGGCATTATAGGCCTGCACACATACCCCACGCCCAGCTCTCTCCCTTATCTTTAAGTTTAGGTTTTGAATCCCAGAATTTTAAAAGAGTTTAGGAAAGTAGAGTGAAGAAGAGTTGAACATTTTCAATGGAACTCATGAAAATGGTCAAATCTTAGCCTTGTACTGCTAAATTTACTTCAAAGGCTTCATTAAATAAAACAGAACAGTAGCAGCCACTTAAGTGAATTCTAGTCTAGGCAGGCTACAAAAGGTATATATAGACAGAATAAATCTAAAAATAAGCTAAGTAAAGAATCCTTGGAATGAGGTGTAATGCAACTTCATCACTTTATTCAAATCTTCAAAATAGTCTTTATTCTACATTTTTAGTATAAAAAATCCACAAGTTAAGTGCACCACAGTGTAGAGAGAGACATACAACGCTGAACTTCCATAACAGTCAATGGTACAGTCAAACATCACATGTACAGAACACAAAATTTAGATGAACTGAAATTATAAAATAAAATAAAATCCAATTTCAGAAAACAAAAAATCAAAATATTAAGGATCCCTGAAATATTCTTAACCCTAATGAGATTTCACTGGACTCAAGTCACTTTGTAGTGAAGCATTCACAATATGACTATCAACCCCATTTAGGAATTCTTGGGAGCCACAAGTGGCTGCATTAGACACTGTGACAAAAAAATGGTAACCAAGTTTTGATCTGAAAACTCCCCTTAATTTGGCTCTAAAGTCATCAATCAGGCTTTTGAAATGCACCCTCCTCCTTGCCCCTCATACATTAAACAAACTGTTATTTATAGTACAGTTTGTATGATATCCTTTGTTCAAACAAAGCTCAGTTTTCCTGTCACCAAAGCAAATTTGGGTTAGATTCCTATATGCAGAGACAACCTACCAGAAGGGCCTAAAAGGCACCCTCCACTTTAGCCTGAGGAGATAAAAAAGAGGAAGTAATGGGATCTGTGCTTGGGGTACAGAGGGGGACTCAGAGGATCCTTGTCAAAGACTAGTTAAAAGATGACAAGTGGGGAGAAGTGCAAGGAGAGAAGGAAATTAGTCTGACTGGCTTTCTGTCCTGCACCATTGATTCAATGGAGATCGGTAAAGGAAATGGAAGACTTGGGTTGGAGGTGGGATGTGGGGCAAAGGATGGAAAGGAGAAGGCAGATGACTAATGAGCTTCATTTATAACAAGTAATATAAATCATAAAGACTTAAAGGAGATTAAAGACCAATCAGAGTAATTTGGCAAGTTTAATTCTTAGGAAAATCAAAGTTCCCTCCAAACCTAATTTGATGTTTTATTACTAAAAGCAAAAGACCAGTATGGTACAGTATTACTCCAGAGAATTAAAGGAAGATCCTTAGGGCTGCTTTACCCACATTCATTTTATGAATGGAAACCTCCCCTACCTCAAAATGCTTCAGAGAGGTACTGCTACCATTACATGGTTCCTTATTAAATTTGAAAAGTGCCTGAAAGTTTGGGCACCAGAAAGACACCCCAACAACATGTGTCTAAACTGCAACTTCAGGTTAATATGACTAAAGCAGTTACATTGTGAGAAGTGCTGAAGGTATGTGATGTCTTTCCCGGCACAGAGGTGGCCTTGATTCCTCACCAGATGGTGTAGCCACCATCTGAGCCACCCATGAAGAAGTTCCCCTTCCTCTGAGTTACGAGGACGTTGGCTCCCTGCATGACTGCAAGCTGAGCAGCATTGGGAGGGCATCCAGGAGGTGGAGGCTGAAAGGAAAGGACACAGTAGAATGGGCACAAGGTAGCTTATACAAAGGGCACAAGGGAGCATCTGTTAGGAAGATGGCAATGTAATGACCAATAGCAATTTAAGGAGCTAGTTTTCCCACTAAATTTGAGCTCTAAAGCAAAAATACAAATAGGAAAGGAAACCAACTGCTAACTCAAAAGGATTCCAGCTCCAAGATGAAGCCTATGGAAACCTTCTAAACACAACAGGCCAGAACCATAGTCATTTTCAGGGTAGGAAATCCTCCCACTCACACTCCCAAAACAGGGACAGCGTATCAGGTCCACGTCTGAATCCCACAGGCTCCCTATATAGTTTTTCTCTCTTAATTTTTTTTTCTTTTTTGAGACAGTCTCATTTTGTCATACCCAGTACAGTGCCATGGAGTCAAAGCTCACGGCAACCTCTAACTTGGGCTCAAGTGATTCTCTTGCCTCAGCCTCCCAAGTAGCTGGGATTACAGGCACCCGCCACAGCACCCCAGCTATTTTTAGAGATAAGAGTCTCGCTCTTGCTCAGGTTGGTCTCAAACCCGTGAGCTAAGGCAATCCGCCCACCTTGGCCTCCCAGAGTGCTGGGATTACAGGTATGAGCCACCACACCTGGCCTTCTTTTCTTTTCTTTTTTTTGTTGTTGCTAATCAGGCCCAGGAGAGGTTTGAACCCACCACCCCTGGTGTGTAGGGCCAGTGTACTAACTGTTGAGCTAAGGAGCCAAGCTGTCCCTATGTATTCTTTTTTTTTTTTTAAGACAGTGTCTCACTATGTAGCCTGCAGTAGAATGCCATGGTGTCACAGCTCACAGCAACCTCAAACTCTTGGGCTTAAGCGATTCTCTTACCTCAGCCTCCTGAGTAGCTGGGACTACAGGTGCCTGCCACAAGGCCTAGCTACCTATATAGTTTTTAAATAGACTACTGGATAACCTGAAGGCTCAATAATGACACATTCATCTCACCTTTAACATATGGTAACCAGGTAAGATGGCCTTATCAAGGACCAAGCTCTAAATCTCATGCTAGTATTTTCTAAAAGCTACTTACTAGGAATTACGCATTCTACTTTTTTAATCATCAAGGTTCAAATATAACACCATGCTGATGGTAAATATTAAGTAAATGTTTATGAAATGAATAAGGACCTTATTAGACCAGTTCATTGCACCAAAATGAACTGCAAAAACAGCAAGTAGGCAGAAAACAGAGGAATCTGGGTAACTCTGACTCCAGTCAATGTGCCAAGGACTACTCCCTCTCCACAGTTCTGCCCCTCAGCTACTTTCTGCCTGGTCACTGGATGTCACTGGTTACACACACTGGCAATTATTTTCCAGGGATAGTAAGAGAATGAACATGAGGTCATTTCAGAAAATTAAAATACCCAAGGGCTGAGTTTTTTTCTGATAAGGTCATACTCACAGGAATGCTGCCAGCAGTAGCCCCAGCTCCAAATCTGGCGCCTGCATCATAACCGCCTTCCACCAGCACAGTTGAACCAGGTGGATAGATGGGACCAACTGGATAATAAGCCATAGGGATTGTGGAACCTAAAGGCCCAACAGCCACAGACTGAGCCATGGGAAGATAAAGAGAGGCGCCAGGAAATGCAGCTGACATGGTGGGGACTGTGGCAGCCCCCGGGTGCACAAAGCTCGGACGATAGAGCTGAAAGAGGCAGAAAAGAAGGCAAAAGGTTACTTTATTACATTCCCATTTGAAATCTCCCTAACAAGTTATTAATTCTCCTTTTACTGATTATACTTTTTGAATTACACAAGCTGCCTTTCTACTGGTATTCAATATTCTCCAAGATCACTTCTTACTATAGTAATGTATGTTCATCTTCTTAACCTCAGCCCATGCCAAATAACACAAAGTAATCAAATAATACATTCTCAATACCAAAATAAGTTACTAAACTACAGTGTTTAGATTATTTATGTGAGCACTCTCTTCTGTGTGTGAAGAATATATGAAGTCTGACTTAGTAAGGACTAAAAAATGTGATCAAGAGTATTCTCAATTAGGTCTAGCAAATTGGAAGCACCTCTGAGTAGGCAGGTGGAGCATCAGTATAGGGTGGAGCCTGAGGAAGATGCAAGGTCTGAGGGTATACTGGATTCCCAGGAGGCTGCACAGGGTAGGTTGGCTGCGTTGGATATTGACCTGGAAAACAAGAAAAAATGCAGTTTGTCTAACACATAGTCACCAAAATGAGGCAGTACCTATTGGGTAGCTAACTTAGAGGAAGCAAAGGGGAGCTTGCAAATAGACTGCCCCCCAGGACCTGATTCCTGGAACCAAGAAAATAAGCATTGTCTCTCACCCTTAATAACACAAGATGCGGGACTGATTCTGACTGGATAGGAAAGGCAAGACGAACATACAGATGTATGGTCTATTTGGATGGTCTAGATGTTAAGTCTATTTGGACCTAGGTTCCCTCCGGAATTCAAGACAAGTCTGGGCACCAGTTCCTGAAGTTCTAGCCTGCTAGTGTATTAAGGGTGCTTTTGCTCTAGGTAATAAATATCCACAGGCTGTAACCATTCCAGACCTCACGGGGAAAGGCCGTTCTGATTTACCTCACCAATTCTTATTCAAGGTCGACTTCTAAATACAGAGTGTGTTAACAGTGGAAGTGAACCGTGAGACTGGGAAAGAATAAAGGGGTGAGGGGGAATGTCTTCCGTGGAGCAGGCGGAGATCACGGCCTAACTGGCACACTGGTGTCATCACAAGAAAGGGGAGAAGTTTCGGCGCCGCCAGAGAAGGGAGAGGGGAATACGAAGGGAAGGAGATAACCCTGGGCTCCAGGACCGCAGGCCTTGACCGGCGCACCAAATCCGGCAACTCGCTAGTTAAGCTCCGGGCCTTGCCTGTTGTTCCGGAGCACCGGGCCCCGCCTCCACCGACTCTTCATTGGGCTACCCAAATCCCTGCTCTAGTACTCCATTTGCTTCTACACATGCCCATCATGACAAGTTTTCCCCCACCCCACCCCCCCACAACCCAAGCCCGCAGCCCCAAACTGCGCCACAGAGTTTACCGAGGAAAGGGCCGGAAGGGAGTGAGCAGCCGCAGTTAAAGGATGATGAAGGCGTCAAGCGCAGCCCCAGGACTGCACTCGGCCAAGAAGCGCGGCGTAGCCCACCCCAAGCCTGGCTTTTGATAACCCTGGGCTCCAGGACCGCTCGCTCCGGTCCAGCACGACTCCCCTCGACGGCTTCTGCCGCCCCCTGGCCTTACCTTTGCTGTTCATGGTGGCTGCGGGTCGGGTTCGGCTCGGCGTCGCGGACGGTTATTTTTTTCGTCCTCTTCCTGTTCGGAGTCACTTCCGTGTCACGTGACGATCGACCGCCTAGCGTCACCCAAAGCCCTCTGCGGCTACCGCCGGAAACCCCGCCCCTGCGCCCGGCCTCCAGTCGCCCCCGGGAGGGCCCGCGAGTCCACGCCCACTCGTGTTGGCTCCGCCCCTCATTCCTGGCTTCCACCCCCAACCTTTCCCCTGGAAAAAATCCACTTACAGGTATTGTCTAGGGACGGAATCTTTTCTACCTGTTGGACGCTCAGAGGCAGGCTGGTGAAGCCATTCTCCGGAACCCCTTTCCATCTACATACATTAATCAAGGTCACCTCGCCTTGGCATCCATTTCACAAGGGGTAGGCACAGATTTCTACAGGTTTCTCAAACAGCCTTCAATATGCTGCCCAACGCCTGGCGTATCGCGCGTTCACTTCCTGCCGAACCCAACTTAAGCTCCTTAAAGATTTATTTTACCAACACGTTCTTCTTAGTAAAATATAACAAGAATGGAAAAACAAGTATCCAATGTACTCAATACACTGATACTGATATGAAACCTATATATAAACAAGTACAGGCCCACTTCAAAGAAATACAAAAGTACGTTCTCGTGAGGGGGCGGGTGGGCGCGGCGCTGATTGGCGAGTTCTCGGCTGACGTGCGCCGTCTAACAGCGCCCCCTGGGGGAAGGGCTCTTTACGGCGCGAAATGAAAACTTCGTAACCGAAACAGGTACTCTCCGATGAATCTGATTATTTTTTTATTTAGCAACTTATGCCCAAGGGACTATACATTCTGAAATTTAAAAAAAAAAAATT